ACGTTAGGAAACAAAACTTCCAGAACACGGCCACACAGCCCGGAAGACCCACACCAGACACAGATAAATTAATTTTCTTTTTTTCAGCCAGGGATTTGCCACAACTAGTATGTCTGAATTGCACTTTGAACCAAGACTGTTAATTTAATCCTTTATGAAGAATTCTTGATTTTTTAGCCTTTTTTCTGCTTACTGCATACTGCCTGGTTCCAGGCTGAGGTAGTAGTTTGTACAGTTTGAGGGTCTACGATACCGCCCGGTACAGGAGATAACTGTACAGGCCACTGCCTTGCCTGGGGCAGAGCTTTTCGACTGAAAGAAGAAACTTCCTGCCCATGTTTGCTTGGTGCCAGGTAAAAGTTGTTCTTCAGAAAGCAATAGTTTGTCTCAAATACTTGTATATGTAACAGATTACCTTGTAATTTCTTTGTTTAGTGGAGAGCTGGCTCTTCTGACTATTAGATCTAATCTTGTTCATTCATGTTTAGCTGTAAAATTATGCCTTCCAGACTTGGGATAAGTCTATAGAATAAATGCTTGCTGGTTCATTGGAAAATCCTGGAGCAAATTATTTCCATAAAACGGAAAAGCTACAGAAATATGAGCTTGCAGGCATAATTTGATACCACTTAGTTTACCTTTTAAGGAAGGAAAATTGCCTCATTATCCTCTAGGGAAAGCATACTTAATCTGTTGAGCCAGCTGACTGACTTATACTTTGAGACTTGCTCACCTCCAGGTAAATGCTAAACAGTTTTTAAGAAAGTCCTGTTATTTACCCAGCCTTCCGATGTATTCATTTTGTATTTAACAGTTACGTCTATTTAAACTAGTTAAGAAATGCTGCAATAAAATATTACACATTGTTCTTGATTTCATATTCATTGTTTATATATACTCCTAAATTGTTTCCTTTTACACTGTTTATTTTCCTTTACTCAGAACTACCTCCACTTTAAAATATAAGATGTAATCAGTGTTTGATCATACAAACTTTTTATAGCAATTACTAAGCTAGAGATGGATTCTGGTTCTATATCTGTGGATATAGAAATACTGTATGTATCAATTTGAGCCAGATTCTTATAGAAGGTTACACTTCATGACTTTATTATTTATACCCACAGTAGTTGATTGGATTTACATATTTTGTTAAGCCATGGTTTATTTTCACTGTGATTTTATAGTTGTTTAGTTCACATAAAATACCAAACCATATACCTTATGAGTTAGTGTCTGAATTCATACATAGCACTAAATCATTCTGTGTGTGTATGTGTGTGGGTATGTAATCCAACCATAAACTATGGTTCATGGCTTAATGTGTGTGAACTTAGTCATTGTGGTTAATTCTTTTGTTAAAGTATGACATGTGCAAACCTAGTCAACTTAACAAAAAGAACAGTCTTACTGTAATAAGCAAGCCGCATTACAGAATCCCTGTTTATAATGTTTGCCTTGTTGATGTTTCCTTACAGATACAATCAGATACCTTTCTCTGCATGACAATAAATACATTAGATACTTTCCAGGACATAGCAAGAGGTAAGATGAGTACTTTGTAGCTTATAATCATATCATGCAACTATGGTTATAGGAAGAATTAAACAAAAGTAAAGGTGGTTACAAGTAGTCCTCAACTTACAACCATTTGTTCAGTGACTGTGTAAAGTTATGGCAGCACTGAACAAAGGTACTTATGACTGGTCCCTGAAGATATGGCCATTACGGCACCCCCGTGGTCACGTGAACAGAATTTGGGCACTTGGTAACCCACCCACACTTACAACTGCAGGGGCGCTTCAACTCCCCCCACCCTGCCTATTTCCTCCCCCATCTATGCCCTTTTGGCTACCCTGCACTTGCTGGCTCTGTGGCCCCTGCCGACCGTGCCACTCCCAGCTGACCTTTGCCATCTTTTTCCTGCTGCTGCTGACAAGGCATGCCCAGCCTGCCCCTTCACAAAGCAGCTGCTGGCCGCGCCAGCCCTTCTTCCCGAGACTGCATCTGCCCCTTGTCCAAATCGTGCATGGCCTTATCTAAATTGTATGCAGCCTTCTTGCAAGGTTATATGATGCAGACTGCTTTGGCTATATTATTTTTCTTTCTTCATTTCAGAGTTGTTGCTTTATCTATGTCTCCAGTGGATGATACCTTTATATCTGGCTCACTTGATAAGACCATCAGACTTTGGGATCTTCGGTCACCAAATTGCCAGGTAAACTTCTGAAAGTCCATATGAAGTATGTTAATGCATTTCAAATGTTGCATAGATTTTAGATTACAGGCCTTAATTCCTTAATGTAGTAGTAGCTATGAACAAAGTAGCCCATATATACCTCAAGCTTGACAGTGTTAAAAAGTGGACTTTCCCTTAGGTGGTTTTTGAAGAAAAACAGAAATTGTTTTGAGTAATAATAGTAATAACAACAACAATTAAAATGATCCAAACCAACATGAGTAATAATGTCCAAAGTAAAGTATAACAAATATCCAAGGAGTGATTAGTGGCTGGGGGAAGGGGGGGAGCTACCGAAATGACATTTATTTATGTTTTACTTTTTAATTGTTTTTTTTCAAATTCCTTTGATTATGCGTGTATATATGTTTTTGCTTTTGACTTTTTTTTGCTTGAATTTTTTATTTAATAAAAGAGAACTAAAAAAGCAAAAATTACAATAGATTTTTAGATCAAATCTTTTCAACAAGAAACAATATTTCAGAAATGATCATATTGCATTTATGTTGTTAGAGATGCAGTGAAACTAATGCTTTACTTAAATATATTGTTCCATTTCAATTAGAAGCAATTACATGCATTAACTCAACCTGAGATTTATCTTAATCACATGGGAGTTACCTTTTAACAGACAAAATTAACACATAATCAAAAGACTTATTGTTCAGCCTTGGAAACAGAAACATATCGCTCCAACTATTTAGCAGTTTGCGCAATTAATTTAGATTAACCATAGCTGACTACAGTGAATCATGGCTTTAATTTATTGATATACGTATGTCTGCAAATATATATTTAGTATGTTTTTGTTTCCTTTTTTTAGTTTTTTTTCCTTTATAATTATCTAAAAATAAACATTTGGATTATTATTATTATCATTATTGTCATTATTATCATTATTTAAATTTGTATACCGCCTGACTCCCAACGATTCTGGGTATCTCACAAGCAAAAACATAAAAAACCAGAAAAAAATATAATAAGAGACAAGAATAAAAGATGCCAAGGGGAAGCACCCAACAGGAATGAAAGAGACACAAACCCACACAATCCAGGAGGCTTCACTCACCCTTGCCAAAGATGCAGGCAAACAGTAATGCCTTTAAGGCCCTTTGAAATACCATCAGGGTGGGAGTCATTCAAATTTCAGAGGGAACCTCATTCCAGAGGGCAGGCACTGCAACAGAGAGAGCGTGCTTCCAGAGTCCTGATAGATGGCATTGTTTAGTTGAAGGAACTTGGAACGCGCCAACCCTGCCAGATCAGATAGGCTGAGTAGATACTACAGAAGACAGGCAGTCCCTCAAGTAACCAGGCCTGATACCATGAAGGGCTTTATAAGGAGTGACCAGCACCTTGAATTGCACCTGGAAGCAAACAGGCAACCAGCACAGCTCACGAAGTTGCATATGTCTATATAGATGTATGTATGTGGGTGTGAGTGTGAGTGTGTG